GAGGGTGGGGAGCAGGAAAGACGGATGGGGATCGAAATGGGTGGATGCGTGGATGGGTGGATGGGCGGATGCGGGGATGGGTGGATGGGTGGATGGATGAATGGATGGATAAATCGATGGATGGAAAGATGGGTGATGATGGCGATGATAATGGTGACGATGATGAGGATGAGGAGGATGATGAGGAGGAGAAGAAAAGGATAATGGGATTAGGAGGATGAGGCTGAGGAGGGTCATTGCGATAATGTGCATGATCATGCTGACGATGATGACGGTGATGATGATGATGGTGATGATGATGACGACGATGATGACGATCATGATGATGATAAGTGTGATTCGGATGACCATGACAATTATGATAATGATGACGATGGTGACGATGCTGTCGATGCTGATGACGGCGATGACGATACTTCTGATGATTATGATGATGAGGATGAGGATGATGATGATGCCGATCATGATGGTGATGCTGATGAGAACGAGGACTTAGAAGATGATGATGATGCTGATGGTGATGATGATGACTATGATGATGCTGGTGGTGACGGTGATGACGATGATGATGAGGGTAATTCCGACGATGCTAACGATGATTCTCATGAGTATGCTGATGACGCTGATGATGGGCGATGATGCCGATATTGCACTTGACCATGCTAACGACGACGATGACAATGCGTATGACGATGATGCTGATTACGATGATGATGCCGACCCTGATGAGGATGAGGATGTTGACGATGACGGTGCTGACGATGTTGATGATTATGACGGTACTGATGCTGATGATTATGCTGATGGTGGTGGTGTTGATGATGAAGATGTTGATGATGACAATGATGATGATGGTAATGATGACGATCATGATGATTACGATAATGATGCTGATCATGATGAGTATGACGACGATGCCGATGACCACGATGCCGATGACGATCATGCTGAAGATACGGATGATGATGATGACGATGGTGGCGATGATGATGAGGATGATGACGACGATGATGATGAAGATGGTGGTGGCAACTGTGATGACGATGATGACGATGATGTTGATGATGGTTCCGATGATGATAAGGTCGATGATTGCGATGATGATAACGAAAACGATAACGATACTAACGGTGATGCTGATACTTATGATTATGATGATAGTGGTGATGATAACGATGATGATGGCGATGCTGCTGATGACGATGATGATGCTGATGCTGATGTAGATGCTCATGATGATGACAATGATGATGGTGCTGATGTTGATGATGAATATGACGACGAAGATGATGGTGACAATGATGGTGCTGCTGATAATGATGATGATGATGATGATGATGATGATGATGACGATGATAATGGTGCCAGAGCTGATGACGATGAGGACATTGATGATGATAACGACGATTACGATGATGGTGATGACGACGCTGATGATGCTGATGATGATGATGGTGGTGGTGCTGATGATGACGACGATGATGATGATGATGGTGATGCTGATGGCGATGATGATGATGCTGATGATGATGATGATGATGATGATGACAATGATGATGGCGATCATGATGGTGACGCTGGTGATGCTGATGATGATGACAATTATGATGATGATGCTGATGCTGGTGCGAATGACGACGATGCTGATGGTGATGATGATGATGAAGATGACGAGGACGATGATGATGATGATGATGATGATGATGATGCTGATTACGGTGATGGTGACGATCAGGACAATGATGACGACGATGATGACGACGATGACGATGCTGATGACGACGATGATGATGACGATGACGAGGATGATGACGATGATGTCGATGACGATGATGTCGATGATGGCGATGATGCTGATGATGATGATGGTGATGATGAGGCTGATGATGACGATTCTTATGATGATGGTGATAGTGATGCTAATTATTTTGACGATGGTGATGCCGATGATGCTGATGCTGATGTTGATGATGATGACAATGATGTCCATGATCATGACGATAAGGATGACGTTGACGATGATGGCGATGATGATGACGATACGATACTAGTGTTGATGATGCTGACGATGAGGGTGATGATGACAACGACATGATCATGATGACAATGATGTCGATGATGACGACGACGATGATGATGATAATGATGACGTTGACGATGATGGTGATGATGATGACGATATGATGATGGTGCTGATGACGATGATGATGACGATGACGATGATGCTGATGCTGCTGTTGTTGATGATGCTGCTGCTGATGATGATGCTGTTGATGCTGATGCTGCTGATGGTGATGATGATGCTGATGCCGAAATTGATGCTGATGATGATGATGATGATGATGTTGGTGGTGATGGTGACGGTGACGATGATGGCGGTGATCATCCCGTGCGTTTGGTCGGGAGCGTCCGCTCGCACTGCCACCCGAGAAGAAGCCTGGCCCTCTGGCCGTGCGCGCACGACAGGGGCCTCGGCCGCCCGCCAGAGAGCGGGCCGCTCGCACGATGGCGAAGCGTGTGATCCGCCCCACTGGCCGACCAACAGGCACACGAACCACACACACACACACACACGAGCCACACGAGCCGCACACACACACACATACACACACACACACGCACACACACACACACGAGCCACACACGCAAACACACACACACGCACACTTCCTTTTTTTTCATCGGCGGCGCGGCAGGGGTCGCCTGCGCTAGCGGAGTGGGCCAAACGGGGGCGCCGTTGTAGCAAATTGGCCAGCAGGCAAGGGCGAGAAGGCAGGACAGGACGGGGCCGACCAAAAAACAAGCGACACCACCCCATCTACGGCCCCGCGGGCCTTCGCGTACAACATGGATTTCGGCTCGGGCTCTCGTGTGGTGTAGGCTACGGCCCCCGATGGTCCGCAGCGCAACATGGAGGGGGCGCGGGGTGGGGTGGTGTCGTTCGTTTTTTGCCCGCACTGGGCCCCACCTCGGGCAACACGCAAGGCACGACTCGAAGAGCAGCGAAAGGCAGAAACATCAACTTTCGGAGGTCCGCGCTGGCTCTGGGATCTCTCTTCCTCCCCCTCCTCCCCCTCCTCCTCCTCCTCCTCCTCCTCCTCTTCCTCCTCCTCCTCCACCTCCTCCTCCACCTCCTCCTCCACCTCTCCTCCTGCTTCCTCCTCCTCCTCCTCCTTGTTTCCTCCTCCTCCTCCTCCTCCTTCCTGTTTCTCCTGCTCCTCCTTCCTCCTTCTCCTCCTCCTCTCTCTTCCTCCTCCTCCTTCCTCCTCCTTCTCCTCTCTCCTACTCATCCTCCTCTCCTCCTCCTTTTCCTCCACCTCCTCCTCCTTCTCCTCTTACTCCTCCTCCTCCTCTCGCTCCTCCTCCTCCTCTCCTCCTCCTCCTCCTCCTACTACCCCTTCTCCTCCTCGTCCTCTTCCTCCTCCTCCTCCTCCTCCTCTTCCTCCTTCTCCTTCTGCTCCTCCTCCTCCTCCTCCTCCTCCTCCTCCTCCTCCTCCTCCTCCGCCTCCTCCTCCTCCCCCCCCCAGAGGAGCGAGGGTTCTCGGATTCGCGCTGGAGCCCCCCGGGGCCCCTGGCGCGCTCCGCGCGCCAGGGACGGGGGTCCGGCGCCGATGCGAGAAATCGGCGCGGACCTCCGAGAGGTCATGATTATGTCGGTAGCTGTTCCTCGAGAGGGAGGCGGGGGACAAGGGGAGGAGGATGAGGGTACAGCGCCGATCCGAGAAATCCGCGCGAATCTCGAAACATCGATGCTTATGCCATCCTTTGTTCCACGAGCAGCGAGCAAGGTCCACCCGAAGGCGCACGCGAGCCACACACACACACATAAACACACAAACACCCCCACACACACACACACTCACTATCTTTTTTGCGTCGGCGGCGAGGCAGGGGTCGTCTGCGCGAGCGGCATGGCCTAAACGGGGATACCGTTGAAGCGAATTGTGCCACCATGCAGGAGGGGAGGGGGAAGGGGGAGGGCGCGGCCGAAAGGGGGGGCGGAGGGAGCGAGCCGCTCAGGGGGAAGGGTCACGCCCCGAGCGAGTGGCGCGGCCGGCCCCGTCGGCTGGCTCGCGGCGGCTGCTGCACCAGGGGGCCAGTGCGGCGTCAGGGCGCAGTGCGGGGGTTGGTGCCACCCCAGGTGCAAAGTGTAAAACGAACAGTGTCAAAGCCCGGTGGCCGCCCACTCCAAAGGCGGGCGATGCAGCGCGATCCTCCGACCCCATCTACTCCGACCCCATTTAGGAGGCCCAGACAAAGCCTAGAAGCCTCAAACGTTAGGCCTGGGTCCTCCTGCTCGATCAACAAGACGAACAACAACGCTGACACGACAACAATGACGACGCACACCGATGACGGACGACGGATGGCGACGACGGCGACGGATCACGAAGTCTGCTCAACGTCTTTCCTCGGACACGTTCCTGGGTCCATGATTTTTGACGGTCCTGGGGCCCAAAACGGGCCTCCAGTAGCCAAACATGAGGAGGACCCGGCGACGACGACGACGATGAGCACGACGACGACGACGACGACGACGACGACGACGACGACGACGACGACGACGGCGGGGGCGACGACGACGACGACGACGACGACGACGACGACGACGACGACGACGGACGACCCACGACGACCACGACAACGACCGACGCCCACCGAGATCCAGTGGTCCCAAGAGGCTCAGAGAAACCTGGAAACGTCCCAAACCTCCGTCCTCGAAACTGGACCCTTGACAAACAGCTGCATGAGCATGCACTTTCGGAACTCCGCGCGGACTTCTTGGGAACCGCGCGGGGCCCCCCCCTGGCGGCGCAGCCGACGCCGCTCCTGTCGCGCTCCGCGCGCCAGGGAGGGAGGTCCGCCGATCCGAGAATCTGCCCGGAGCTCCGACAGGTTCAGCTTCTGATTGTTTTTGCACTCCTGCTGGCCCCCGAGCGCCCTCCGAGGCGGCGGCAGAGGCGGCGTCCGCGGCGACGCCTCCCGCGGCGGCGGCGCTCCTCGATGGCGGTCTGCAGGCTCTGGGAGTCTTTCCACGCCACGGCCTCCCGCAGCGCCCCGTGGAGCTTCTGCAGGCGGCCCTGGCGCTGCGCCGTCGCCGTCGCCGATCGATCGACCGCGGATCGACCGAGGCGCGAGTGAACAAGCGAACGAACCACCTCAGCGGACAGACGTCCAGGCCTAACCAAGAACAGGTGGGGGAAGGCCATGGCCTCTTGGATCTGGTACAGTCAACCCGTATAGTAAGGGTGCGCGATAAGGATGCAAAAGCCTTGGACGCCCATTTCGAAGCTTTTCGAGCGGGGCGCGGCCGACGAAAGTGGCGAAGGATGGACCGAGGAGGCAAGGATGCAAGTGTACCCTTAAGAAGGTTGCCCATCCTTACTATGCGGGTTGACTGTACGTCATGAGGCTCGATCACTGCTTTTCCCAAGGGCGCCCAAGCTTGCCCAAAGGCGCCGCGCTGTCGCGGTCGTCGTCGATCGATCGCGACCGTGCCTTTCGTGATGATTCGACTGGGCATGGGCCAAACTTGCATTGCAGGGGCGATTTGTTGCGGTCTGCAGGACTGATCGAAACGCACAGGGTTCACCATGACCTCCTCGCTGTGCTGGTCATAGCGTTCGCGGCGGCCATGGCGGGAGTCGTTGTGTACGTGTCTGTTCAAGGCGCTGAGTCGCAGATGCGCGTTTCGTGCGCCTTATTCCGCACCTCTTCATCAGGAGGTCAGTTCAAGGCAAATGGCGAGAAGAGAATCCCCGATACGACGCGGACGAGTGTGTATCACATGTTACGGACCTCTCAAGCCTAGGGACACGATGTGTTGCACTTACGGCCTCCTGTGTGACCCCCGGACAGGTCACCACCCAAGGTGCTTGGCTGGCACGGTGGCTCAGTGTCACAGTCGAATCCTCCTGCCGGGGCTGACGCATAGATTCCCCACGCGGTGGCTTGAAGGGAGGTGGGGGGGCATGCGAAAAAGAAACGAACGTACGTAGCGCCCCGTAGTTGCGCTTAAGAGTGAGGGGGCGGCGAGGACGTCGGCAGTCTGCGAGGTGTTGAAGGAGCCCGCCGCAGGCGCCTGATTTTCACAACTTGTGCAACGAGTCCGCCGCAGGGGGCGATGCTTTTTGTTAAAACAATGTGGGTGGGTCGCGGGTGGGTTGCGGGCCGGGTCGCGGGTGGGTCGCGGGCAGGGTCGCGGGTGGGTCGCGGGTCGTGGGTCGGTCGCGGGTTGGTCGCGGGCCCGGTCGCGGGTGGGTCGCGGGCCGCGTCGCGGGCGGGTCGCGGGTGGGTCGCAGGTGGGACAACGAAAACAAACGACAAGCAACACACAACGCCACAACAATCCGCACCACGGAAACTCGCTTCAGCCACGCGCCCAGGGACAGTGAATGACCGTTCGGCCCCTTCGCTCTGAGTATAAAAATCGGCCACAAGGAGCGGCGATTGTTCCCCACCCCACAGGTTCGCGCGGCCAGGATTGAAGAAACAAACTCCCGAGCCGCTTCGCACCTCCTGCATGCCGCGGCCGCCAGGCCCCAAGTGTCCCGTTGATCCATGGGGATCATGCCTGGCGCCTTCGACGACCATGCCCGATGTATCCTTGTGGTCCCTGGGGGTTCCGCCTCGCGTATTCGACGAACGACGGCATGACGAACACACGTAACTATCACTCACAGCAAAAACCAGCATACGCACATTCCATGCAATGGCAGCAGGCAGGAGCAGCACGCATTAACAACACACATGCACCACAGGTCTATGTAACACGCACACATGGCGTATACAAAAACCACACGTGTACACCACACATACGAAACTGGCACGCCCTGGAGTCCAACAACGACAGACTGAACAAGCATACAAAATAGGCGCAAATGAAAGACACCCCTTCTTGTCCAGCCCCTCATCCCGTTGGTCGGCGGCGCGCCCAGGGAGACGGCAGAGGGGGCGGCCTGCTGCAGAAGGCTCAGAAGGCCCCTGGCCTTCCGAGAAGCAGTCCGAGCCCCCTCCGAAGCCACGGAGGGCTTCTCAGATTGCCAGGGGGGCTTCTGAGAAGCCCGGCCGCCCTCTGAGAAGGCCTGTCCCCTCTCGCTTCCCTCCTCGGCGCGCCGCCGAGCTGGCGACGCCCGAGGAAGCGCCGACCGACGCCTCCCCTCCTCCGCGCCTCCTCCTCCTCCTCCTCCTCCTCCTCCTCCTCCACTCCCCTCCTCTCCTCCTCCTCCCTCCTCCTCCTCCCTCCTCCTCCTCCTCCTCCTCCCTCCTCCTCCTCCTCTCCTCCTCCTCTCCTCTCCTCCTCCTCCTCCTCCTCCTCCTCCCCCCCCTCCTCCTCCTCCCCCTTCGCCTCCCCCCCCCGGGGGCCTTCCTTCGGACCGCGGGCGCACGAGGCCGCGCCGGGGGAGGAGAGCGGCGCGCCGTCGCGGCGAAGGCTGCCGACGTCGTTGCTGTCGTCGCCGCGGTCGCGGTCGCGGTCGCGGTCGAGGTCGCGTTCGTCGCGGTCGCGTTCGTCGCGGTCGTCATCGTGGTCGTCGTCGTCGTCGTCGTCGCCGCGGCCTTCTCGTCCAGCGCCTCCTTTAGATCCTTCTCGGCCAAGCCGACGACGCCGCACTCGTCCATGGCCGCGTCCAGGGCTCGCAGGTCGTGCTCCGCGATGGCAGACCTCCGTGGGTCTTCGACTGCTCATGCTGCCGCTGCCGCCCCTGCTGGTACGCATCATACACGTCCTCCTCAAGGCTCAGGCGGCTTCTCGGAAGAGAGGAGACCTTCTGAGCCTTCTAAGGCGGTCCGCCTCTTCTGCCTTCCCCCCTGGGCGGGACGCCGACCGTCGTCCTTGGTGCTGTTCTGCAAACTGGAAAACAAAGGGGGGCCTGGTGCGTGAATCGTTCCGCCAAGACCACGATCGACATTATCAGATCCCCCCCCAGAACAATATAGTTGCTATGACTTTCTTGGCGGTGGGCGGAACCGAACCGATTCTGTGGGGGCACACTATATACCATCGATCAATACTGGCGTACACGATTACCGCATACTGAGCGGCTGGTTCGCGATGCCAGCCGATCCGCCTCTCTACCAGAAGTACAATGCACGGTCGGGAACTCTTGTTTCGCGGGGCACTCGGGCAATAACGATTACATTGCAGCCGTGAGGGCCCCGCATGGCCGCCACCAACAGAGCACTGCCCATATGGAGCATGAGGGCAATGATAACATCGTCAATTCCAGGGCATCCGAAGGCATCTGCCGTAGAGCATCTCCCATGCGACACCAGGGCAACGCCGAAATCATCGCGACCTGTGAGAAAGAATAATGAACCAGCCATAGCAAACCACATACAAATCGCCAGTTCTATATTCTATAGCGAGGCAGCTACAACCATGAAATTGTTTCGGGCGAGCATGTTGGACATGCTTCGCTGGTGCCCCCAACCTGCGATATGATACATGCACTTGGTGATGCACGGACGTTGCACATGTTTTGCAGGATTGGCACGTGCGCATACACGTTAGTGCCTTAGGTGTGCGCCTCAGTTATGCGGGTGGCACACGCATGCATATCTATATTTATGTTGCTCCCATCGTACTTAAGGACCACATCCCAGGAATACTTTCGAGCGCCCCAAACAGTATCGAAACAGTGTCCAACGAGTATCGCCTCCCAGGGCCTGACACGTGAAAACCATAAAGTTTCGGTATTTCCCTGGTGCTCGAAATTCTTCCTGGCGATCAAGGCTAAAGTAGGTTGGAACATTACATATGTATATATATATATATATACACAGATTCAACCGCGGGAGCATAGCGTGAAAACAAATCTTGGCCATGAATGCTCGCACCCCAAGTTCTTCCAGGGAAGAGGGGCACGAGACGGCGGCGCGGCCTCAGCAACGCCAGGATCTGCTCCACCTTCTCCTTCTCCATCATGGCGCCCTGGGGTGGTTTCTTCTGTGCCGGAGGCTTCTCCTCGTCCCCTTCGAGGCACAGTCGAAACGCTGCCATAAGAGACCCAACATCAGGAACGAGGCCGACTTCTTCCACACGTTCAACTTCGATTTCCCACTGACAACCAAAGGACAGCTTAAGACAAATTGTACCCATTGGTCGGAAGAAGTAAGCAGAAGCATGAAATATGAAGGCGTTGAAAATAGATTGGGTTCCGTCCGCCCCCTAAGGAGGACGGAGAAGGTAAAGCCACTCGATCATTGAAGTAGCAAGGCGCTTAAAGCATACTGGAATCTGGGAATCCAAAAATACCTACTTTCAACGACCGATGGGTAAAAATTGAGGAACACTGAGCCCCTCCCCAATGAAAAGGGTTCCTTCTTCAACGGCCCGACTGTATGCGGCTCGCGGTCTTGAGGCATGTTGCTCCGTCCATCTTGGGGGCCTTCAGGAGGCCACACCTCCAGAGATTTCCAGATCCTCGGGGGAGGGACGGGAGTTCTACTGGAGGCCGTCCACATGTGGTCCGAAGAGATGGGGTCGGCATCGTGCCGCATCGCCAATGCACCGGCGATCTCGGGCTGGAACAAATCGCGGTGCAATTCGAGCCAACCCGCCGATGCATCGGGGATGCGGCGCGATCTTCTGACCCCGTCTGTGCTGGCCCCATTTGGGCGACCTGGCAATCTGGATTTGGACACAAACTTCTGAGAGCACGAGGCCCGGCGGGTGTGCTCGAGGGAGGCCCTCGTGCCTGCGAGGCGTCAGGAGGACGAGGATTCGAAGGAGAAGGCAAGGCAATACGGGGCAGAGGATCAGAAGTCGGACTGAGTGATTGGACTTGCCGGCCGAAGTTCCCTCCTCACCAGTCCCTACACGCGTGTTGTCCATAGCGAGAAAACCTCCCCCTGGCAAGACAAGCGCCCCGCGGGTCCGCGGTTCTGGGAATAAGAACCAGCCTCGAACGTATCCCTATCCCCAAGAGGGGCGAGGGAATCCTTGAGATCGGCATCGATGTGAGGTGGTGCCTAACACAAGGACAGATCGACCCTCATCCATATCCTCCTCATCCCCAGTGGGGGGCCAAGAGAAGGATGATGATGATGATGAGAAGGAGGAGGAGGACAGGGGTATGCTTTCAAACTGGTAAAAGAAGCTGGCATCCAGTCTTCGAGCTGAGAGGTGTGTGGCACGGTGGAGGCACAAAGAGTTGTTGAGATGCGTGCGCAAGCCGACAGCCCCGCACCGAAGAGGGAATCGCATTTCATCCGTGCACCTACTGCACAGTCGTGAGGAGGGCGTTGTTGAAGAGGAGGAGGAGGAGGAGGAGGAGGAGGGAGGAGGAGGAGGAAGAGGAGGAGGGAGGAGGAGGAGGAGAAGGAGGGAGGAGGAGGATGACAAGGAGGAGGGGGAGGAGGAGGAGGAGGACAAGGAGGAGGAGGAAGAGGAGGGAGGAGGAGGAGGAGGAGGAGGAGGGGAGGGATGAGAAGGAGGAGGAGGAGGAGGAGGAGGAGGAGGAGGAGGAGGAGGAGGGAGGAGGAAGAGGAGGAGGCGGAGGACGAGGCGGATGAGGAGCTCTGAGGCCGACTACACGCAAGAGTGACCCTGGGCAAAAGGGACCTTTGGTGCGCGGTTTTAGGGAGGCGCGGGGGGGCTAAACCCAGGCGCGCAACACGCTACTATCGCATCGCGTTTGGTGATCTGGGGACCCCGTTGGGCCCGCACTACCGGTCACTCCGGCGAAAGGTTACTTGTGCGTCTAGTTGATGAGGAGCGAGACCCTCTTTTCGAAACGCGTTCGCACTCCATCCGTATACAACAGCTAGATTTGTTTACGACGAGCGCGCGCGGCACGAACGCGAAGACGCAACTGTGAAAACCATTCGCCCTCCATCCGTGTAACGTCATAGTTGTGAACGAAGAGTGCGCGCAGCGCCACGGCGAACGCCTTATTTCGAAAACGACCCAGCCTCCATTCGAATTACTGTTTGACTTGTTTCAGCGCGTGTGCACGGCGCTTCGGCGAAAGCCCCGTTTTGAATACGATTCGCTCTTAATCTGCCTATATGTCGGCTGCTTCAAGATCGTAACCAGTGCGGAAATCTCTGAAGAAACGCAAGACCGCCCTAACGACACGCCTGGTGGCGCGACAAGGGGGAGCGACTGATGTTTTCTCGACAGAAACGCAGGACGGCCGATCAGTAACATTGGGACAGAGCTCCTTGCACGACCACGTGAACTTAGAAGCCCGACCATTTTCCAGGAGCAACGAAACACTTAAATCTGTACCGCGGGACCGGCGCTCATGAGGACGCTCTGTCCTGCCAGCGCGGCCGCACCGCTCTCCACGGACGGTACTTCCGAGGACGCCACGTCCTGCCAGCGTGGCCAAAACGAAAGGACCAGGAGGGGGAGAAGGAGGACAAGGACGAAGAAAAGGGAGAGGAGAACGGATGGCGGCAACACCCTCAGGGAAAGCTCTGGGCTCCGCGCGAGAGCGAGAGGCGCCCGGGAAGCCACCACCAGGCCCGCGGGAACCGCGGGGGAACAAGAGGGGGGGGCGGCGCGAGGAGAGCTCCACGAGCCACGGCGCCCGCGCGAGACATTGAACTCCTTCGACCAATGGGAGAAGAAGGAGGAGGAGGAGGACAAGACAAGACAAGACACACTTACGATCCACTGAACTGCTACACATGGCAAGCAAACAAAAAAGAGAAGGGCGCCTGGAAGTTGCAGTTGGCCTATTCTGGATATGTGTACGCTTCTGTGAGCGTGTGTCTAGATCGCTCTGCCGGGGGGCACCACTGGCTCGATCCGAGAACCTCCTTTCGGGAGAAACCTGGAGGCCTCGGCTAAGCACCGCACCGCAGCTGAACGGATATGCAAGCGAGTCGAGAGGTCGCTTGCCTGCATCATGATATGGAAATAGGAAGTGCACAACCGACGGATCAACATGCACACGCACACGTTGCACAATGTGAAAATGCTGAGTGCAAGACAATGGAACTGACAGGGCAACAGGGACGAGCTCAGAACAGAAAGTGACCTCCGCGCCCGAAGGCCACCCAGTCCTGCCTTACGGCTGGGGATTGGAGATCCTGTCATCATCGCCCGCGTGGTACAACTCATGGTTTGCACGCGTGCTCACAAGTTGGCGATGGGCCTGGTCATCAGAAGAGACTATGGCAACCTATGGGCCAACTCGCATTCTCATAGATCGCACATTTGAGGCCCGCCGAGCCAAATCCACCAGAGAAATAGTGTGCTGCAACTCATCTACATAGAAGACTCCGAACTCCTGTTCAGCGGGCGTCTGGTAGCATGAAATCGGCTCTGAGCACCCATTCTGCAGATTAGGTAGGCCAACGTGCTGTACTAAGCCATCTCTCGCCTTCTGAGCCATTCGAACAGACCCCCTGATCGTAGTCAAGGTAGCTAGCCCTCGCTGAGCTCGTCCTCGCTGAGCTTGAACTGGCCCCCGTGTGAGACCAGGCTGTGGAACCGTGCCGACGTTCTCCCCGTCCCAGGCGATCGTCGACGTTTGGAGTTTGAAAAACTTCGGCTGCACTTTCTTCTTGCGATTGTAGTACGTCGGCCGCATCTGTGCAAGGTCTGCAAATTCTAAGGACTGGGCAGCAGCCAAGGATTCACGCAAGTTACACCGTTGGGCCAGAAGAGAGAGCATCTTCTGGGACTTCTGTGGGTAGTCTGCCGAGCGCTGTACATTCTGGGCAAAAAACTTTTCCGTGCTGAGTAAGTTAATGAAGTATCCCCACTCTGCATTAGGTGTCTCCTCCTCCCTCCTGATCAGCTGCCAGTGCTCCTGCAAGAACTCAGCCCTCCCCACTCTACTCCTCAAGCTGCCCATCAATGCCTCCTTGCTCCACCTGACATACCGAGGGCGAAGGTTGAGTTGCAGCCCTAATGCTTCTCCTCCTGTGGTGGCCTGGATAGTATATTCAAATCGGGCATACAGCGGAAGATGGTCGCGATGATCGCAATGTCTGATTAACTGCAACTTCCTATCAAGACTTCTGAGCGGTCCTGCCGAGGTGATCTGTGGGGGCGAACATCGACGCATGCAGATGTAATATTCCAGCGATGTGCCATGAGCAGGTCCTGCATATGTAGAACCGACTCCAATGTGCAAGTTAATCGGGACCAAATCGAACATCTGAAGGAAGGGCAGTAGCACATCCGCTGAGTGACACAGACGACCCAACCAGTGGGAATGCCCTAGGCGATCGTCCTGTACTGGCGTCCAGTCCTCGCTTCCACTCAGACGCTGCTGCCCAGACGCTGAATTCAAATCCATGGCCACTATGGGGAAGCAGGTATGCGTAATTGATCTTTTGGGGATACGTGGGCCAAGCAAAATACTGCAACAGCTACGATTGCTGCCCGCTGCCCTTGCCCATCCTGCTTTCAGTGTCCACCTCCTCCCCGCTCTCCTCCAAACGATCTCATCCCTCCCATATCGCCGTGCACCCGTCCCTGTGAGACAGACGAAGTCGAACTGTGATGTAACCTCTGCCACATCCACCAGCCTATCATGTGGTGCCGCAGACATCGGGTTGTACTGCATCCCCGAGATGCCATTCATGATGCTACACTGGCTCCTGGCGGCCAGCAGCGATCCTCAAAGCATCAGCGCTCAAAGTGACAGTCCCATGAGGATGTCCATCCGAGCTGTGGCGCAGCTAGCACCGTCACCAAAAAGGGAAGTGTGGTGGGGGGGATAAGGAAGGCTGCGTTATCAGAATGTTGCACCCCCCCGTCTGGGCCGGGGTGCTTGGAGGAGGAGGAGGAGGAGGAGGAGGAGGAGGAGGAGGAGGAGGAGGAGGAGGAGGAGGAGGAGGAGGATTGTCACCAGAGCTATGGGTGCGCTGCCGGCCTACCCACTGAAGGCAGGGGGGCTCCAAGACTTAAAAGTCTGAGCGCCACCCTTCGAGCCGGCCTGAAACCAGCACGGCACCGCGAAACCTGAGGCACTGCCAGAGCGAAGGCGGCAGAAGAGGAGGAAGAGGAGGAGGCGGAGGAGGAGGAGGAGGAGGAGGGGGGTGATAGAAGGCAGAAAAAAGCTCCGACGTCGTGTGTGTATTGTTCAACGTACCCAGCCCCGTGCCCAGCTCCCCATGCCAGACAACTCTTTTTGGCGACCTGGGACGCCATGGACACGACCTCCAAAGGCAGAAAACGACGAAAGGCCTCATTTGATTTCTGCTCACGCTGAAACCAAGGCCAGGGCGCCTCCTCTTCCTCCTCCCCCTCCTCCTCCTCCTCCTTCCTCCCTTCCTTCCTTCCTTCCTTCCTTCCTTCCTTTTTTCCTTCCGACCGCTTGACGCGCGCCCATGGTCGGGCGGCGCGCCCGGCCGGGCCGCCCGGCGCAGGCACTTATACATGTCCCGCAAGTGGGCGTCCTAGCGCCCAGCCCGCGGCAGCCCCTCCCCACGGCCAATGGGCATGCAGGTGGCGCCCGACGCTGCCGCGGGGGGACCCTGCCTGCCAGACCCCCGGGGAAGGGGTCCCCGGCGGCCCCCCGGGGGGTCGCCACTCGGGGGGTCGCCTCCGGCACCGCTTGGGGCGGGTGGCGGCACGGTAAGCGGTCTCGCCAGAACGGCATGGCATGGGGGGCAGCATCGGGCCCAGCCGTCGACGGCGGCAACCCCAGACACCGCCGAACTGGCCGCCAGACGCCCCCAACGGCGCCCGACGGCGGCCCGCTGCAGGAACAGCATAACCACGTTACGCCACGCTACACCTGAACTTGCCGCCCCCATGGGTGCCCGCTGGCGGCCTCTGGGGCCCCCGGGTCGTCCGATCCGCCCGAGAGAAGAGCCCCCTTGCGGCCCTGGGTTCCATCCCCGCCGCAGGGCGGACCCCCCCCCCAACCCCCAAGCCGGCGCCCAATGGCCGGCCAGCCGGGACCGCCGAAACCGTGACGTGGGATCGGCCCGCGGAGCCCCAAGAACGCCCGTGGGCCCCACTGATCACAAAACGCGTGGTTGTGATCAGCGGGCCGCGGGGCGGCTAGGGGCCCTGCAGAGGGGGCTCCCGCAGCGCGCCGCGCCCCTGGCACTCGCCCGGGCAGCGCCCTTGCCGACCTCCGGTGCGGGTGACCTCCGGGATCGCACCGCGCCCCCCCCTGGCACGGCCCCGGGGCGGAGCCGTCAGGACAGGGCCGGGCACTGGGAAGCGGGGCGGCCCCGCGGGGCCCAGGCCAACGGGCGGCCCCCAGGACCTAGGGCGCGACGCACCAGGCGCACGCGCGGGGGGGACGAGGAAGGCCCAGCCAGGAGGACGGGCGAGGATGCGGGAACAGGGAACAGGGCAGGGCGAGCCAGGGGACTGGTCCTACTTCGTGCCCTTCCCTGCTACGCCGCTCTGGCTACACTGGGGGTGGCGCGCGGCGGACTCCGCGGCCACGGCCTCCGCGGCCGCCTCCTTAGCCGGCGCGCTCGGGTTGCCTGGCTGGCGGCGCCGCTTCGAGGAGGCTTGCTGGAGCGGCGTGGATACTGCGGCGGCCTGGCTGGCGTGCCGCTTGCGGAAGGCTGCGGAGGCTGCGGGCGCGCGACGACGACGACGACGACGACGACGACGACGACGACGACGACGACGACGACGACGACGACGACGAGGGGGGGGAGGTCAACCCTGGGCGGTGGTACCTGCTTGGGGACTCACACCGCATAGAGCGGAGGTCGCGCCAGAGGGGGGCTCACACCGCATAGAGCGGAGGCCACGCCTGCGAGTTAGGGCCCCCCCGCCAGGACGCGCGCCCAAAGTTGGCGCGGGTCTCAAAGGCCCTTCGGGGAAGGAAGGGAACTCGAAGCGGACGGGCAGCGCAGGAGGGAAAATATCGAGACCAAGCCCGAAGATGAAGATCGAGCGGCCAAGGGCGAGACCTCCGCGGCCGCCCCACACGGGGCCCTAGTCTGGCTGCGGCGGACAGCGGGGTGAATTGCAACGGAGGTGCCAGTGCCGGACCCTGCTCCAACAACGCGCGCCAGCGACCCGGCCAAGGACCGCGGCGAGGAGTGGGCACTCGACTCGGCCCTCCCGCTTGTCCCACTTTCCGTGTCGCGCCTGCTCCTCGGCTGGGGCGATCCCCCCATCGTCCGCGCACCAGCAGCAGCCGGGCGCGGGGGGGTGCCGCCCCCGCGGCGGCGCCGCGCTTGGCGCGGGGGGGGGGGGGGGGGGAGGCGCCACGCGACTGCCGCCCCCGGGCTGCGGCGAACGCGGCCGCCTCCTGCGCCGGCCGGGCGGGGCCCAACGCCCGCGCCCCAGCAAGCGGGCCGGACGCGGAGGGTGTGGGCCGCCCCTCGGCAGGCGCCCCCCTCCGGCGCGCCGCGCAACGGTGCGCGGGAGGGCGCCGCCCCGAGACGGCGCGGCTTGCAGCGGCCGACCCGCCGAAACGCGAGTGAGCACCTGGCGCGGGGGACGGCCGTCGATTCGATCGTTCGCGGATGGATCCCCCTCCTTGGCCTTCATCCTCATCCTCCTCATCCCTCCTCCTCCTCCTCCTCCTCCTCCTCATCATTCCCCTCCTTATCCCCCTCCTCCTCCTCCTCCTCCTCCTCCTCCTCCTCCTCCTCCTCCTCCTCCACCTGGCCCGTAACATGAAGAGAGTCCTGCAGCTGGTCAACCTCGCGCAAGACGTTGGAAAGCAGCCCTCGTCTGGGGCATGAGTTCCTGAATTTGCCTCTCTGTAAGAGGCAGACCTGGCCTCGATCGAGACATCGGGGCAGCATGATTGTACAGGATGTGAGCAACAACTGAGAAGTGTAAACTTTGAACTGTGACAGGCTGGTCGAACAAGCCTAGACGGGAAATGGGAGAAGAGGCGAGCGAGACTTTGAGAAGACAGGCGCATAAGCTAAGGAAAATAGATCCGACAAGATAGTGAGAGATGGTGTCACGAGCATGTGGGGAAGCACACATGAAACAGCGGGCACTGTGACCCTGGAAGCGAGTCTCCGTGGTCCAGGCTCCCGCAAGGGTCTTGATGCACGCCGATGCATGGGCAGAAGCTAACTGTAGAGGTATCCTCTGTATCGATTGGTCGCAGGTGCAGTCGGCGTGCGCGAAGCTACATTCTCCTCCTCCTCCTCCTCCTCCTCCTTCTCCTACTCCTGCTCCTGCTCCTGCTCCTACTCCTACTCCTACTCCTATTCATACTCCTACTCCTCCTCTTCCTACCTCTTCCTCCCTTCTTCTTCTCCTCCTCCTCCTCCTCCTCCTCCTCCTCCTCCTCCTCCTCCTCTTCCTCCTCCTCCTCCTCCTCCTCCTCCTCCTCCCTCCTCTTCCCATCTTCTCTGATGCTCGAACCTCGGCCCGCAGGTTCCGCGCGCGCGCCTCCAGGTCCCTGGAGGTCCCCCTCTCGTCTCTGGGGACTTCCAGGGACCTGGAGGCCCCAAACCTCGACCCTCGAATGTCAAGAACCGATTATCGAACCTGGATCCTCGCACCCGATCCCCGAACGTCGAACCTCAAACGTCGATTCTCGATCCTCGGTTCGCGGCTCCCATGTAGTGTCTCCAGGTCCGACCCGAGGCCCCTCCCTGGAGCTTGGCTGAGCCGGGACCGGCCGCAGCCACGAGAGCCCCCAGAAACGACTCAAACAACCTCCGAAACAACGACGTCGACATCCAGACCTCCGGAATGACTGTGGATCTCGAACAGGTGGGCCTGCTTTCCACCACCACCAACACCATAAGTTGGAGGGGGGAAGGAGGAGGAGGACGAGGAAAAAGGAGGAGCAGGAGGAGGAGCAGGAGGAGGGATGAGAAGGAGGAGGAGGAAGAAGGAGGAGCAGGAGGAGCAGGAGGAGGAGGATCAGGAGGAGGTGGTGGTGGTGGTGGTGGAAAACAGGCCCATCACGAACTCCTCCCCAGGACTGGCTTTTCATCCTGGGCAGTTCTCCCAGACCTCTCGACGGCCTCGAGGCCCTGAGGCTGGCAAACGGCCCAATCACCGTCCGCCGTCGGGACTTCTCCACGACGCGAAGGGGTCTGGGACGACGCCGAACTCGTCGTCGTAGTCGTCGTCGTCGTCGTCGTCGTCGTCGTCGTCGTCGTCGTCGTCGTCGTCGTCGTCGTCGTCGTCGTCGTCGTCATTGTCCTCGTCGTCGTCGTCGTCGTCGTCGTCGTCGTCGTCGTCGTCGTCGTCGTCGTCGTCGTCGTCATCGTCGTCGTCGTCGCTGTAATCGTCGTAATCGTCGTCTCGCAGCTCCCACGCGCGCGCGCGCGCCTCCAGGTCCCTCTCGGGCAGCCCGGCACCTGAGGGGGTCATACGCTGGGGGGGACCAGTCATAACTGAGGGAGCTGTGGTCCTTACACCCCTGGGGGAAACCATCGCGTCGACGATCTCCCGAGCGGGGTGTCGAAATCGAGGGGTCCCCCAGGGGGGTAAGGACCACAGCTCCCCCAATTGTGGCTGGCCTGCTGGGGGGCACCAGCTCGGGCGGGGAAAGCATCGAAACCCAGGATCGGCGATACGTCGCCGACAGATCGACGAGGGGCCCCCGAAAGCGGACCTGCCCGCACCTGGCCGGGATGGGCCTCACGGCCCCGATCGGCGATAAAGGGCGATCGGGGGCCGGTGCCTC